GAACCTGGAACCTGCAGAAGATTCCCTCCCCTCCTTATTTTCACATTCCCTAAAATCGTGTTGTCCTTGCCACTTTGCCATGATGCTGTTCAGAACACCGTCACCTGCTCCGCCGGTTGCGCCACTGAGGTCGAAAATGAAATCGCATTTTTCCTAAGGCTACTCATAAGCACACAGCCTGCCAAATGTTAAAAGGGCAATATTATTGCCATTTGTGTTAATATATAGTGGACATTTACACATTAAATGATAATATGTCACAGGGGACGGTATGGGGGAATGGTTTTTAAGATTTTTTTGAAGAAGGGGGATGCCATCCCCTCTCAACTCGAGTACTGTGTATTGGGTTGTACTGTATGTTGCTGTGTGTTTCTGTGTTTCCCTGTGATGGAATGGTGAACTGTGCGCGGTATACCCTGACTTTCACCCATTGACTGCTGGAGATAGGCACCAGCTTTGGATTAAGTGGGAGAATATGGATGGATGACAGCAAAAACTATTCACACAGAACCAGGAGTACAAAAAAAAAAAAAAAAGATCATAGCGAGTCAAAAAATATATAGAAATCTGTCAATTTATGGAAATATTCCTTCCTGCTGCTTTGTTTAGAACAATAACAGCTGATTTAATATAAATTGCTGACTTATAAAAAGGTTTCTTAGATCAAAGTTCCCACACTGTTACATTTTAAGAGTCCTGCCACTGAATAACAGAAACTTGCTGGAGACTTTCAACCTCAACATGGTTGATGAGGTTTGAATTAAGAAAGATTTTCCCAGAGGTTTTTATGAAGGCTCTCAGCAGGATAGAGACTCAACTTTGATTTGTAGATTTACCTGTTGGAGATACCGGTAATAATTTTATGGAAGCAAATAATTCTTTCAGATATTACCTAATATTATTCTATGGTATGCATTTCTCAGAAGAAGAAATTACACTGAACTACAAAGGTGAGAAATAACTGAAGTGGATGGACTGATGAATCAGCCGAGCTGATTAAATGCTACAGGTCCAGTATTTGTGATGAAGCGGGTAAAACACTTCAGAGGCCATCATGAGAGAGAAACAGATGATGACTGACAGCCAGCATATTGTTTGTGACTGTGTTTGGTACTGAGATATGGCCATTAGTCAAGATGAATCTCCTTGAACCCTGGTCGGCACCAACAGGTATCCCTCTAACAGACTGCCCCCCCGCTGGTAATTACACAGCAAGGTCTGCAGCAGGTGGCACAGCATGAAGATGTATTTCCATAAATCTGCATGTGTCACTGGGACCGGCTGCAGCCTCTGGCATTCTCAGTGATTATTGCTCATACTCAATGGACAATTTGTTCAAATGTTACAAAAAAAGCACAGTTAGAAGATACGATGAATGCTCAGGATGACATCTACACAAAGCCATGAAGGGGCTTATTTACAGTGTCATGAAACTGAGACTACTGTAGAATCATCCCAGTTAAAAAAAAACAAAAAAACTCTACTGTCACACTTTACCCATGCTATACAGCTATGTCATGCTGTACCAACTTACTTGTATAACGTTATAATGGAAAAATTTACAGAGCCTTCTATAGTTTCTCATGGTACAAACATAAACTTTAGTGCATCTCACTGGGATTTTGTCAGACCAAGTTTAAGTTATGGATGATTAGAAAGTGCTTTAAAACTAATCCATAGTCTGCACCTTTACAGTAGGTCTCATAGGGTTTAGCCTTAAACATTCTCTAATATCTGCAGTGTGTAACTTTTGCATCTTGTTCTTTATAAAATGACTAAGTCAGATTCTTGGATTTAAGTATATATTTTAAATACCGGTATGTCAGTCTAACACATTAATCTGCTCTGATCTAAAGCACATCCTGGCCATCACTGCAATTTATCTGGCCCTAATGAGCCAAAGAAGCATATTATGTTATGAAACAGCCATATGTTCTTTAAGAGTGTACAAAGAGGGTAAAACTGTAAAATAAAATAAATAAAATAAAAATAACATCATGGCGGCTCCTAGTAATGCTCTCGCCAATTCCATTATAATGTAACATTCTATGCATCACACTGACAACATCAAACCAAAACATTGCATAATTGCACCATATATTTAATGCTCTGAACTTCCATATCAATGCATTTTTTGTACCATGATTTTTTTTTGTCCCATGCTGTTTACATTTGATCACTGCTGGACTTATCATGAAATATCATGATAATGTGCATAAAAAATTACAATAAAAGTTGTCTAAGTCTAAAGTAAAATCTTTGTAAATTGCATGATGAACTCAGACGTTTAATTAATTTCATGTCTAGATTCATTAGCCCCTCGAAGAGTCTGTTTGATCTCTGTCCATATTTGGGGTGCAGACAGACATTTACCTTGCGCCTCTCTCTTATAACGCTTGACCTCAGTCATGGAGGAGGATGGGGGAGAGCGCTGGTTAATTACTCCCCCCCACCAACCTGGCGGGTCGGGAGTCGAACCAGTAACCTTTGGGATCCAAGTCTGACACCCTAACCGCTCACCCACGACTGCCCTTAGCTCCATTAGCGGGAGCTATGATGTCTCTCTGTGCTTATCTGGTCCTGATTTTTTCCCCCCATTTTTGCAGTCCTGGGCAAGTCAGTGCTTTTCAAAGTGCTTATAGTCTGTCAATAATACATTCACAGTCTGATGGTGGTGAGCTACATTGTTCTTCTTTGACTATTTGAGCTGATGTAAAGAGTCAATTTCACTGTGAGATCAATAAAGTCAATCAATCATAAAGGAACAGAGAGTGAGCTCTGATCATTTTGAGTTCAGTAAAACATTTCTTTATTAACTATGGTGAAACAGTTTTAATTAAACAGTTTTAATTAAATTAACTAAAGACAACCTGCCGATGAAAAATATTGGATTGTATTTTGTGGTACTTACCACAAACTTTATTACCACTTTATATTCAGTTGCAGTCGCTATGAATGGCAGCAGGATATCCCCCAGAGGCTGACCGCTGCAGAGAGCTTCCAGTGGGTCTTTCCAGCACTGCTGCCCGCCATTATGCTGGAGGTCTGGCAACAACTGCATATTTTGGTAGGATCATAATCCTGATACACAGATGATGTTTTGAGGTCTACCTTCTCGTGTAAAAACATGTTAAAACTATTTCCAACTCATCAAAGTGATTAAAGTCAAGCTGCTCTCTAGCTTGTAGCTAAGGAACAGAGCAGGCAAACAACCAGAGCGCAGAGCATCAAGAGCGTCGAAGTAAAATAGCAACTTGACCTGCGTTTGGCTGAGCGTCCAGATTTGGCCGTTAAAGGTTTTTGAGGCCTGGATCGCATTCTGTGTGAACACACCTTTTGGCTGCCATGCAATCAAGTAGAAGTGCCTTTCAAAAACAAATGCAACTAAGAAGGAAAAATCAAAAATGTATTAAATGTTTCTTAAGGCACGTTCAAACAAAACAAAGCAATCTAAAGAGAACATGCAAGCACTCAGCTGTGTGTGGGTGTGTGTGGCCACTAGCATGCCTGTCATTCTCCCCGTAAGCGGCAGTGAGCAGTGGGACCCCCACGACGGTGAGAGGTGTTTCTGCTGACAGGAGCATATTCAAGGTAATGGAACCACTCTGTTGTATCAGAGCAGAGCACTAAGGCAGAACAGAGTTCTGTCTCCAACTACACGCACCACTGAACCTCCAGATGACAAAATGCCTCAGCAGCTGACCAAATCAACTACGATAAAGCTGAAAGAAAAGGAAGGAAATTGATGGAAAAACTCACATATTTGTCATTTGTTTCTGTCTAGGCACTAAAGTAAGTATTTTTAACCGCAGAAAAACTGTTTAAGCATACGCAGCACAAATAACATAGTAAACCCCTTTTAGAAGCACTGTGTCAATTTAGCTACAGAAAAAGCTAATTTAAGTTTAGGTAGAGCACATAATGTGCATTCCACTGAGGCAGGTATATTTATTCACCCTGTGGAGCTGAGGAACATGGGGGAACAATCGGGAGAACAGCAGGATGATGAAATAAAGAGGAGACGGGGTAATGAGAGAAGAACTGAGACAAGTTGGAGAATAAATGAGAGACTGCATTAACAAACAACAAATGATTCCCATTTACATATTTCCTTTACATTTCATCATATCGCACAAATAAAAAAAAAACTAAGCAAGTTATCACATAAATAATCAGTTACTTGGCTCTGTGTTAAAAGGACTACTGTAAGTACCATGTTGATCTCAGGATAAAGACACGTCAGGCTGCCATATCTGACAAGTTGAGAGGAGCAGGCTCTTACCTAAAAAGACTCTACCGAGGATTTCTACTGCCAAATAAATGATGGTGTTTTAATGGATGCTGCTGCTAAGGCACTAAGGAGCATTAAGAAGGAAAAATAAAAGCAGATTTCCTAAATCTAAATAATTCAGAAATACGCTTCTTGACAAAAAATCATTATTTCTAAACTGTTTATTTTCTATATTTAACTTTTTTTTTATAAAAACATATGCAGTCTGCACACAGAGACAACTCAGGAGGCAGAAAATTGTCAACCCTTCGACACAGAATGTAAAATAGTGACGAGTGAAATGTGGATATAAGACACACAGCCTAAAGCTGTCTTCAGGGGAGGAACAAAAAAGAAGAACCATGTTGGAAATATCACCCACTCAAGGAGAATAATTTATAGGCAGACACAGCTTATGTTGTTGTTGCCTGATTTGCACAAAGAAGCAGTTTTATTCCGTTTTGGAGCCATGATTGATATGTATTATGGTGATGTGAAAAATAAAAGAGGCAATTTGTGAACAGACACAATCCTGACCTTGACTTGAAAGAAAAATCCCCTAAATCTCCCCAACATGGGACTTTAAAACCCACCAGTTAACAGACATAGACAGATTTCCGCAATCTTGAGCTACACACATATTCAGCTTTTAAAAGTCCAGATTTTCATCTAGAAACACATGGGATGAAATGACTGAATATCTGTGGTCTGGTTCTGGTCCTTAACTGACCTCGTAAAAGAGGATGGCCTTTCCGGAAAGGTCCAGCATACACCAACTGGTAGTTTTTGACCTGGAAGCCAGGTACGCAGCCAGCATGGGCTCCTTCTGCTTGAGCGATCTGCAACACAGGAAAAAAAACCATTAGAAAATGTTCATCTTCTGCTCAAGTCTCTATTGAAGACATTCAAACTGGGTTCTGGTTCTCATCTCTGAACTGAATTCGTCCTGTTGTTTCTCCGACAGCTAATTCTTATTCACATTATACAAATTGGCATGCATTTGATGTTTGACATAATTCATGTTATAAGAGACATTCTGCTATGTGTATTTATTTATACAATCCAATTAAAGCAAGATTTTAGTTAAAAGACGAATAAGGTTGTGGTTTGATCAAAAGCTTTTAAGAACACCCCATCCTGTAAGTTCCAACGTTCACAAGTTCAGCAAGAGAAATTTGAAAAAATACTGATTTCTTTGTTTGGCTCTACAGTAAGTTACCAATGATGGGACATTATACCACCCAGGGTGGCATAATGTCTAAGGAAAGATATAAAAAATATTAAGCTTTTCCTTCCAAAGCTTTTTTTTTTTTTTATGTCCGCTCAAGTGGGAATGGGTGCACCTCTCTATTACAAAGTTTATAATGAAGAACCTGGTCTGTGGTATGTTACAAAAAATGCAATTTTGTAATTTGCTCTGTAGGACTCTGGACAACAATGCACATTTCTGTCTAAATCCTAAAACTTTTGTTTTCTTTTATATTTAATACGCCTTTACACTTTTCTGTGAAAATATGACAAAAAATATCTGGAGAATATGTTAAACCCGGAATAAAACAAGCATGAAAGTTTAAAATATGAACAAGTCAAATTAATAAAGAATAAACCAAAAATGTATGTTTAACAATTTCCATATTTGTGAGGCGACAGCAGTAATGTAGTAAAAACATAATTGAAAACAACAGCAAAATCCATTACATTTTGACAAAATATATATATTTTTTGGTTTTATTGCAAAATGTGCATGTTGAAGACATAAAGTGCCTACTCAATGCCCAAAATGACAGTTTCTGAAGTTTTAAAAATGGAAAATCTTGTATTAAAGTAATGCCTGTTTTTGCCAAAATCTCACCCGGCACATTTGCGTATTAGGGAGGGGAAAACCTGTAGTTAATTTGTGTAGAATCAGATTAAGGCAGGTAAATGTGTACATTTGCCGTAACGCCAAAAACTCTAATAGATAATGTACGCTATGTTTTGCATTGTTGTTTTTTATTTTCAAAGTAACAGTTTTCTCAATCACAAAGGCATTGAAATATCCCCTGAATGAAACAAGGATTGCTCCATTATTACAATAATCAGAGGAAAGCTGAGCAGCGTGAACAGGCTGAGAGAGAAGCTGAAGGTAGAAGTCTTATTTCAGTGCTTTAAGTGGCAGTACGCAGTACAACCACTTCGTAATTGTAGCCCTCAGCATACCGGGCTGCATACTGGGGTGCCTCCAAAGGGAAAGTAAAAATGCCTGTGACATATTTTCAGCTAAAAGGTAAGCTCAGCCATTTGGGGGTCTACCAAAATACTGTGTAGTGCCTCCCATCCGGAAATAAACAATAACCTATCAGTATTAATGTTTAGGAAAAAAAGCAGCAATAAAAAAGGGGACCAAATAGAGTCTTAAAAAAAAAACATTTAACTAGTTGTACACCAAGCATTAGTAGTTCCACAAAAGATTAATACGTTTTATCAGTCATTAAGAACAATTAACCAATACAACAGATTTTAAGAATGAGGAAAAATGAGGAAATAAATAAAGTAGAATGACTAAAATCCCGCATTGGGGAGTACAATAGAGGGCTAGTACTCATCTAATAAGCATACTAAGAATAAAGTATTATTCGCAAAGGATAAACATTATCGGTAATTATTAGGTGACATTTTTGTTATTTGTGATGATTTTGTAAATGTAATATTAAGGACAGGAATTTAAATTAAGGACTAATTAAGGAATTCAACTATCAACTGCTTTCTTCACCGTCTTCATTAAAACTACCATTACATACAACATCAATTTTTTTTCTGCTTTAAATATGGGTTAAGCAAAGTTATTGCCCGTTTCCATTCCTTGTCTTCCCGATCACCAAAAGTGCTGTCTTTCAACCCTTTTGTGATCTGTGAATAATTCAAAACTATCATGTAAATTAAAATGACTTCATATTGTTATCAGCTATGTTTTGTTTTTAAGGATAAACTTAAGATCTATGCAAGCCCCCTACATTTCACACTTAAATCAAGCCTAAAACAGTCTCTGAAGCTCAATTATCTGATACTAGACTACGAAGCCAAACGGTATCAAAAATGCTGTGAAGCACTCAATACTGCAAATGCAGTGGAAAAAAGTTTAGTAAAAGTGTTGATAAGAATAGGTTTTTAAAGCTAAAGAATAATCCCATTCAAACATTCTTCAGCATTCTTAGTTTTCCAATATACTGTGACATGTTAAGGCGGGCACACACTGTACTATATTTTCAATCTTTGTACTCAGCTACAGCTCAGACTGTAGGAACAAAATGTTTCATTTTTGTTTCCTACAACGAAACCAGGTTCATCAGTTCACATCTCATGATGTATGTTCTTACACTGTTCTACCAAATGCTCCGATTTGAACTAACTGTTTACAACGTACGTCCAAAAACCACACCTCTGACTGAGTGCCGAAAGATGGCCCTGTACGGATAGGTCAATCTGGAAGAAGAAAGAGAATTCACCTGTTTGCACATGCGCAGTTCATGAGGCTCATGTAAATCGGCTTGTAGATGCTCGTAGCTCTGCTTCAACAGCAGGATATGCCCACGAAAACCTCACGAGGGCCGACTGATTTACAAACATTTGATTTTCTCCCGACCTTAAGATTCCTTATGGAGAGTTTACCTCTCGTTACCCCCTGGTATACTACCCAATGCATGACGCACGGTGAGGCTGAAAGTGGACCTGATATGAGTTTCTCACAAAACTGGAGAATCAGCTCAAAAAAGGCAAAAACTTGTACCGAATATAACCACCTTTATATAAAACAACTGCAAGTTGCTGCCCAGTAATTCAGCATGCCTCAGATCATTTACTTAAGTATTTCATTAAGGTTTATTGCTGTTTTCTACTGGGAAAAAGTTGACCTGACACAGCCCCCTCCATAGCTTTCATAATGTTTACTCCTAATTACTCTATAGAGAGAGCAGCAGCCAATCTCAGCTGATGTTATAGTATATAAGACCTGGGGTACACCTGAGAATGCAGGGGGAGGAGATGTTTTATCCTCGACCACATGTCTTTGGGTTCCTGAAGGACTCTAAATATTAAAAAATGATTGAGAAAGGAACATGAAAATTGCAGAACGCTTTATAACAGATGTACACTTAAAGTTGTTTAGATATTATTTAAAGGAAAAAAGGGTAGAACTTCTATCTATAGAGTAGAACATGTCTTAAAGGTATCTTAAAGATCAAGGTATACCTCACTAACTGCTTTGACTTAGCTGAACAAGTGTGAAACACAGTCTAAAAGGGAAAAACATGATTGAAAAAATAATATTATGAAGAAATCTCTAACAGGAAAATTTCTAAAAAAAAAACTAAACAAGAAAAAGTTAGTAAATGAACTATGAATAAATTTCAAAGAAAAAAATGTGACAGTGTAAAGTATTTATTGAACTATACATCATTTATGTTAGCAGGCTTTCCAACGGCAGTTTGTGGAGTCTCTTTAGAGGTCTGTCTGCATGATGAACTAACTCTGGCAGGCACTCAGACATGGAGGTCATTATATATAATGTCGGAGGAAAGCAACCACGGCACTCAGGGGATATGTGCTGTCCCTACACGTGTCACAATGTTAATTCACTTCCATCAAAGGCTTCCTGACAAGGCGGGACAGTACATTTGGGTTTCTATAAACATAACATCCCAAGGCCTGCCAGGGAACAACGTTTCATAGGAAACGTTCAGCACAGAAAAGACAAAAAGACTCGAGACTTCACACAGGAAACAGTGGCATTAGCGTCCACTTTAGTATCCATTAGGAGGTAAATATTGCCATCGAATCTCAGTGACTAACAGCGGGTAAAAGCACTTAGGTAACACAATGTTAATGGCAGCATTGTTTGTGTTTGGAACAAGGTCTATTACTGCGGACTTATTTGGCAATTTTCTCATCCAAATAGTAAGGATGGACAACAAATTGGAAAATATTAGAGAATCATCTGAATACTAGCAAACAGACTCAAGTTCATCATCATCTGAAAACAAGATTCAGTTTAATGGACATATTCTCCCTGTTTCAAAGCATTACTTTCACTCAAAACTAAGAACAGAAAAATCTATGTGTGCGAGATGGACCATGAAACATGGTCTGGGCTGTGTTTGCATGATGGTATGATAGCGCCACAAACATGAAGAGAGCTCACAGCTATGATAGTTTATGATGGAGCAGTTGTATAAGGGTGAAGATTTTTCTTATTCATATTCCAATGACAAATGAAATGGTGAAAAACAGAGAAAAGTTCTGCAGAGAAGGCGAGTGGGCCTGAACTATACCCATTTAAGCCACTGGCTATGGAGAGCCAGGCTTCCCTAATTTCATCCCAAGGAATCCAACCATAGAATGCACACAGGTCTGAGTGTTTACTTGGTGTTACCGTTTAATAGGTTATACAAAAATGGGTCGACATTTAGACTGCTCCAACTTGCTACTGAGGGATAATGTAGATGGAGCTGCTTTTATATTGCACATTGAAAGAGTCTACTTATCTCAGTTTTTCTAGGTGATCTCACTATGACGGTAAAATAACAGCCGTATGTCAGATGCAGTACATTTCTTAATCTGAAGGAGGGTACCAAACAGACAGTTTTAGGAACAAAAGCAGGATTACAAGATGCAGTAAATGTTCAAAACATGCCTGGGACGTGTAGACAACATTATAAGATGTGAATTTGTACAGTTTTTAGTTAAAAAGTAGATCATTTGAGGTGAGCTTTACTTGTGGGAGGGGTGAGACTGCTGAATGATGCAAAAGTTCAAACCCAGTTGGTTCAAACCCCAACTCCAGCTTTCTCCGTCATTGTATCCT